ACGATCCAGTATCATACGACTACGTTGCAACCCCATGGACATCAAGCTTGGATAGCGTACTCTATGTACGGTCGAATATGCACGGATAGCCAACTTGAGAACAATAATGATATAGTTCGACCAAAGACTCTCTTAAACAAGTCGACATTCTTCATCACAGCAGACTAAGCCCTGGCGCAATTGATTGAGCAGCTTAAATCATCTGGAACAATTAAACCTAGATTCTTCTCACTTGAGGTATGTGCTACGTGAAGATTTTCGAGGAAATACGAGAATCCCCTCTAATGTCTGTACACACAGAAGGGTGGGGACCTAGTGTGACGACAAATACTGACCGCTTCAGGCGGTTAGTACGGACGTACTCATAGACGGACGGATTTTTATTCCTTACATGGATTGGAAGGCATTATTCACAATTGTCATATGACTGATATCAACTACTCCAATTGAGATTGAATTAATTTTCCCCCGTCCCACTGACACTGACAATAAATAGATGGGCACAGGTTGACGTTTGGTGAATTGACCAGTGTCCTTTTTGTCACGGGAGAAGTGCAAGTAGTCAACACAGGCCACGCATACAGGCACTTTTGTTTTCTTTATCAGACCCATATATGGAATTAGTGATGTGTGGTGGGGGCTCAAAATACCGACAAAGCATCCCAGTGAAAAATATTTGAAAAACCTCATCGCAGATTACATTCACATCATTTCACTGAGCACAAATGAACGGAGACAATTCACTATCTTACCTTGGCTTCCTGTAACAGTTCCTCCAGATTAGCGCGAGCCGTGGCTCGTCGAATCTCGTCGTCCGGACCGTTTGATCCACTTCCATTGGCAAACGGTTGTGACTGTGTCAAGCAGCTCGGACTTAATGGGAAGTCATTCTGAATAATTTTGATGGCCACATCAAGTTGCGCTTCGCCACGACATCCATGTCTTAGCATAGCGGCTTTGGGAACACGCCATTTGCCGCGATAGACCACACCGAATGCACCCGTACCCAGAGGTGAGACGGTCGGATCGAATTCCAAATCGTCCGCGTTGATCATTTCCAATCTTCCCATATTCGGATCACGAATGGCAGATTGGTTCTTCATGAGTTCATCCTTTCCAGCGGATTGCAAAGGGAACACACAAAAAAGAAAAAAACACATCGGGATAAACCATTCAGTTCCATGGGAAGATTCAAGTACCATACTAGCTTGCTTGAATTTCACGAATTCTACAGGGATTAAGACCGTGTAATGACATGTCACTTCCTCCTCAACCCGTCACTCATTATTTGTGACGCGTTCCTTAATGAGGGGTCTCCCTCAAAAGAGGAATGTCGCATGCAAACGTCCTTTAACCGAGACGGTGAGTTCACAAGGATGAGAAGGCACAAAGAGGGTGACTTAAAACGGGTTAGCTCATTGCTTGCTTTCTAACAGCATTCAATCTCATGGCAACAGTGTCATTTGTGTGGGACCACCAAAAGTGGTGGATCGGATCTGCTTTGCACAACACTTCTTAATAATGCTCCTAAATCGACCAGGACAATTTTCAATGTCAAACTAAAATGGAAGTAAAAATTTCATGTGAGTACCGGGCGATTTGATTCAATTTCAAAGGGGAAATCCGTCGCGTATAAAGCAAATGAAGCGTGAGCTGAAAAGCTGGGAAGTACTAGACAGTTGTTTCGACCTGGTCGGGTCTGACCCGAGCAGTGCAAATCCATCGACCCAACAGTGGATCGAACCCAGGACCTCAGGAGTGGAACGCATGCACGCTAACCACTCGGGCACTGGGAACCTGATAAAAGCGTTTTTCATTTCCGATTTACAAAACATAGCACAAACTTGCTTTGCGAGATTGTTGCGGCCCAGGGACTTCGCTCATCTCAGCACTAGCCTCCGGAGTTATGACTCGTTTGGAAACATTCAAAATTGGACTGCCTATTTCATACGAGTAATGGAAAATGAAAAATGGTCTGATCAGCTATCCGATGGCTGAGTGGACAATATGAAATTTTTATTATTTTTTACGCTGGCTTGACATCAAAAATTGGCCTGGTGGATTTTGAGAACATTATTAGGAACTGTGGTAAAAAGCAAACAATTTTGATTCACCAAGACAAATAGGGAGACATAAAATGTTCAGTTTGTTTACCTATGAGGTTTTGTCAACTCAAAGTTCTGTATTCCTGCAGTTGATGTTGCCATCCAATTGTGTTCATTTTTACCCGCAACAATAGCCACCTTTCTTTCGCAAAGTTTGCAATTAATCGGCTTGCAGAAGTTGAAAATACACATTTGACGTATTTTACGAATACGCTAAACGATCTGCTTGGAATCGTGATCAATATTTGTAGAGCTATTCCACGCAATAAT